CCGTCACAAGGGCCCCCTCCCGCCCCCGGGCCCCGCCCCGTCCTCGCTCCTGTTTACCTGAGCCCGGCGGAGGAGGCGCGGCCCCAGCTGGGCCTCCAGACCCCGGGGAGCCCCAGGGGGTGGACAGGGGGCGTCCAGGGGCCCCAAGGCCTGTCCCCGTCTCCAGGCCAGAGGGCCCAGGGGTGCGCCAGGCCCAGCCCACACCCTCCGCCCTCGCCTCCATCCTCGCAGCTCCTGGGACTCCCACCCCGCATTCCCGGCGCCCACCTAACCGCAGACAGCTCCCGGTCCTGCTTCGCCGCGCTGCGCCCGCCCGCCCGCCCGCCCGCCGCGCACGCCTCGCCGCTTCCAGCTGCGCAGCGAGTCTCGGGCCGCGGGCGGGTCCTCCGGGGGGCGGGGCGACCCGGAGCCCCACCCCCGCAGGTGAGCCCGGCCCCGCCCACCGCCCGGGGAAAGTTAAGCGCTGCGGCCCCGGCCCTGCGGCAACCGCAGAACTTCGCGCGCGCGCGTAGCCGGTAGCCTCTAGAGCACGTCGAATCTGAGATGATTCCAGTGCGCAGGAGGCCTGGAAAAACCAGAGTCTCAGCGAAACTAGAATCTTGGAAACTTTGGATCCCAGACGGATGGCCTTCTTGCAGTGCCAGCCGCCGGCTCTTTGCCTCGGCTGCTTGGACATCTCTCCACACAGATCTCGACGTTTGTCTGGTCCCTTTTCAAAGGCCGCTTACTCCGAGAGGCCTCCCTTGCCTGTCTCTTCTAAATTACACCTTCCCACCAAAACACAACCTCATTTCTCTCCTTGATTTTGTTCACAAAACTTTTCAGGACCTAAAATTATTTCATGTAACATTATAATTACTGTGTTGTCTTACATCACATTATTGGTGAGGCTAAAAATTGAGCTCTGAGTTCACATCCGATTTCAGCACTTACTAGCTGCGCAGGCCTTGGACAAGTGACTTAACCTGTCTGTCTCCGTTTCCCTAAACTGTAAAATGGGGGTAGTCAAAGGCTGTGAGAATTTTTTTTCTGGCTGTGTTGCGTCTTCGTTGCTGCACGCGGGCTTTCTCTAGTTGCAGTGAGCGGGGACTACCAGTGCGCGGGCTTCTCATTGCAGTGGCTTCTCTTGTTGCGGAGCACGGGCTCTAGGCGCGCAGGCTTCAGTAGTTGTGGCACACGGGCTTAGTTGCTCTGCGGCTTGTAGGATCTTCGCGGAACAGGGCTCGAACTGGTGTCCCTTGCATTGGCAGGCGGATTCTTAACCACTGTGCCACCAGGGAAGCCGATGCTGTAAGAATTGAATGCGTTAATATATGGATCGGAAGCATTTAGCAAATATTACCTACTGATTTTATGGTGTTATATTATTGGCTCTCCCCCACTAGAATGCCAGCTCCCTGAGGGCAGGGCTCTGTATTGTCAGCACGGTATCTTTAGCATTAGAACAACCTGGCGCAAATTAGGAGCTCAATAAATAGGTATCTTTAGCATTAGAACAACCTGACGCCAATAAATATTTGTTGAGTGACTGACTCAATGAATCAAGTCCTAGAAACATAAATTGGCCAAAGCTGGGCGCACAGGATTCTAGCATCATCGAATTTGGTTCAAGGCGAGCTTTGCCAAACCCTGGCAGTACACCGGTCGCTGCACTAAAGGATACTTCCAGAAGAGGGCGCTGTTGGTCCGTAGACCAGGCACCAGATTCCCGCGCGGCTCTCTACTCCCCTGTTCTCGGAGCTTCCGTGCAGATGCTCCCTCCTGCCGGAGGCCCTCTCAGACCACCCCAAGGCTGGAGGAAACGCCTTTCCTGGGCTCCTGCAACCTCCTGGGCTCCCATGTTCCAGCCATGCCCATGCTGGGTCATCACTTGTCTGTCTCCCATGCAGGACTGTAAGAGCCAGGAGGGAAGACAGAGCCAAGGAAGTCTCAGTCCCTGCTGTGTGCCCAGTGCTACCCAGCACAGCCCGAACACAGAGAAGGCACCCGGGACAATGGTTGTTGACAGACTGATGGAAAATAAGACTCAAACTTACGCTCTAGCTTCTCCAGGTACTTCTAGGGAACAGGGTAGAAGGCGGCAGCTGAGTCCTTGTCCCCCATTGTTCGGGCCTCAGGACACGGGACATTGGTTCTGGAACTGTCACAAGCTTACTACGAAGCAGTGCAGGGACTGGAGCCAGATGACCTAGGTGCAAATCCCTGCTCTGTCATTTGTTGGCTGTGTGACCCTTGAGCCAGGAACTGACCTCTCTGGTCCTCACGTTCCTGATCTGTAGAAACAGACTCACATGTGTAACCTACTTTGTGAGGCTGATGTGGGGATTAATGAGTAATCCCTGTAAAAGGCTTAGAACAGAGGGGCACATGGTAAACACTGTGTGTGTATGTGGGGTGGGGGGTGGGAGGGAATTGGAGCCAGGTAGATCTGCATTCAAATCCTGGTCTTGACATTTCCTTTCCATGTCACCTGGGGCAAGCCATGATTTTCTGAGCACCTATTTCCTCATCTATAAAACATGGATGGGGACTTCCCTCGTGGCACAGTGGTTAAGAATCCGCCTGCCAATGCAGGGGACATGGGTTCGAGCCCTGGTCCGGGAAGATCCCACATGCCACAGAGCAACTAAGCCCGTGTGCCACAACTACTGAGCCTGCGCTCTAGAGTCTGCGAGCCATAACTACTGAGCCCGCATGCCACAACTACTGAAGCCCGCGCGCCTAGAACCCGTGCTCCACAACAAGAGAAGCCACCGCAATAAGCCCAGGCAACGCAATGAAGTTAGCCCCCGCTCGCTGCAACTAGAGAAAACCCACGTGCATCAACGAAGACCCAAGGCAGCCAAAAAATAAATAAATAAATAAATATAAAACAGGGATGATTGCACTCATCACATAGCATAGTAGTGAGGATTAAATGAGATAAAGGCTGAAAGAAGGTGTTAACCAAGGTGACCATTTGGGCTGGCCCTGTGCCAAGCACTTTTGCACAGCGTCAGCTGGGGCTGGCACTCCTGAGTTCTTA